AAACCGACATGTCATGGCGACCTTGTGCCGAGGTGTGTTCCTCCGAAGTGGGTACGCCAAGATGATGGCACGGTCAGGAAGTTCGCCTCTTCATTCTGGACCGGGACCTCTTGCTGGGCCTTTTGGTGTCGGTGTAGGTTTGGAGTGCAATTTTGTACACCCCACTAAGGTGGGTGAACATAACTCCCTCAATATCTATGGTTGTCATGCCATTGTAAAGTATTGCTTTGCCACATGGCATGCAAATAGGGATGGGGTGAACATCACCCTCTCAAAAGAGGGTGAACAAAATTGTTCTCGTAGGTTTGGGCCGTGTGTGTCCAAGAGTATGTGCGTCGTGGGTCCGAGCCCATATACTCTATCAGCATGGAAGCGTCTTCTGCTATCACCCTTGCATTGTCGAAATATTTTTTATTTGGAAAAAAAATTACGCTACGCTACATAACATTTTCATACAAAACACTCAATACTCATCCAAGCCAACAACGAATAAGCGTCGTGTTCATTTTTAATTATTCAAATCTTTTTCTTTCGGAGAATTTAATTATTCAAATCTTATTCATCATTTTCATAATGTATAAAGCTTTGTGCTTACTATTCTAGTATCGTACTAATCCAGTGTTTTTGATATTTGTAGTTGTTTTAAATTTGCGGTTAGTTGTTAATTCCTACATAATTCTTGTGTGGCAAATTATACAGTGCAACCGGCATACCTTAGGCATGGTATGCCGGTACTAATACGATGCCGTTTTTTCATACTTCCCCTGCCTCGTTTTTTTCTTCTTTCTCATTGATTACTTTTAATTTTCTTTATCAAAAGCCTTCATGCTCTCTATTTTCTCATCTACACTCACACACTCCAATCATCGTTCCACCATCGCTTTTTTCATTTTATATTTACTTCAATTTTTATTATTATCAAAAGCAATCATGTATCCAAACACCTTTTTTTTAAATTTAGGAACAATGATGTACGTATTACAATTTTGAGATTAAATTTTCATCCATTCAAAAGAAATTAATTATGTTTTTTTTTCTGTCTTAGTCCTTATTCATACACTTTTTTCTTTTCTTATTTGCTTCAACTTAACTTACAATAAAAAATTAATTTTTTTTCTTAAAAATAAATAGTTTTATATTTTATACATTTGTGTGATTTATATTTCAACATGTGTGAGTTGTGTTTATAGACAATTTCTGGAATTACATTTGATATTATATAAAGTTACATCTTCTTATGCGCGAGTTGCATCTGTTTATACGTGAGTTACATCTTAATGTACTCGAGTTACATCATGAAATAAACCCTGCTAATGATCAAAAAATGATTTTTTAACTATATCATTTTTTATGATAAAAAAAATCATATCATTTTTTATAACCCTAATATTAAAAAACATATTCACTATTTACAAAAAGTAATTGGGAAATTAAATAGGATCAATTTTTAATTGTTTACATTGAAATCAATGTTGATAATATACATAAGTTTTCTTTTCTTTTCTTATATGTATTTATGTATATATAAGATGTTTACATTTCAACTTTTCTAGAATTACATTTTAATGTACGCAAGTTACATTTTAATGTACGCGAGTTACACCACTAAATAAACCATGCTAATGATAAAAAAAAATTAACTAAATCAATTTTTATAGTCTTAATGTTAAAAATTCAAAACATATTCACTCTTTATAAAAAGTAATTGGGCAATTAGGATCAATTTTTTCATTGTTTACATTGAAATCAATGTTTTCTCCACTTACATTTCGTTTTTGACAACTTACATATCAACTTGACTTAAGTTACATTTCCTATCAATGTGAGTTACATTTTTGTAAACGGGAGTTACATCACCCTGCTACTGAAACACACAAAAAAAAATTATTGTTCATCCGCGGGTACTGTTCATCCGTGTTTTACCCCTGGGAGCATGATGCTCATTGTGCGCCGGTACCACGATATACGAACTGCTCTTGTGTGGGACGTGAAACATTTGTTGTTTATAAATTGAATAAAAGCGACTGATCGATTGGGACCGGTTTGAAACCCAATTAATAAGGAGTGGTCATTGCCACGACAAAATTTTCCAAGGAATCAGTGGGTCCTAGACCATTACAGGGATCAGGCTGGCCCACATCCGGCCACTCAAGTACCTCACATAATACTCAAATCGGCTGATTTGGACTTGATGAAAAGCCCGTTTGGAGAACTCTGTTTTCGGCTTATCAGGCTTATCAGTCAGCTTTTTCACCAAACACGTAACTTTTACTTTCGCGCGCTGAATTGTGTAATAAGCCGAAAAAGTAAGGTTGAAGTTACTTTTCTGGCTGTATTGGCTGAAGTTACTGTAGAGGACCATTTTAGCTATTTTTACATATAATTTTTTCTTTAATTTATTAATAAAATTTATTTTTAAAATATTTTTTTCTTAAATCAGCAGAATCAGCCAAAACAGCCACTCCAGCCAGAATATCATAAATTTCAGCAGAATCAGCCAAAACAGCCGATTTTGGTGCTACCAAACGGGCTCGAAATTTCGGCTAAGAAGCTGTTCTCTTCACCTGATCTGAATGTTTCTAATCTGAATTTTTTTAAGTTCTGATCTGATCTGAATTTTTCTGATATGATCTGATCTGAACTTTTCTGATCTGGTCTGATCTGATCTGAATCTTTCTGATCTGATTTGATTTGAATATTTCTATAATTATAATTATAATTATAATTATAATTATTATAATTACAAATGTAATTATAAATATAATTTAATTAAAATTATACTTATAATCATAATTATAAAAATATAATAATAATAATAATAATAATTAAAATTATAATTCTAATAATTATACCTATTACACTAATTATAACTATAGATACAATTAAAATTGTAATAATATTTTTAATTACATTTACTTATATAAATATAATTTTAAATATAATTATAATATTTATTTCTATAATAATACTTATAAATATAAATATAATTATAATTAATATGTTAATAATAATTACAAAACAGTAATGATAATATTAATAATAATTATATTAACAATAATAATTATAGTTATAGTTATATTTATAGTTATAATTATAATTATTATTAAAATTATAATAATAATAATATAATAATAGTAAAATTATCATTATCATTATCATTATCATTATCATTATCATTATTGTTGTTGTTGTTGTTATTATTATTATTATTATTATTATTATTATTATATAATATGATTTATATTATTTATATTATTTTTATATTATACTTTTTTCAAAATAGAAGATCTTTTTTTAGAAGTGACCCAGAGAAGTATCTGAGAAAAGACGGTAGCTTTTAACATTAATTAGTTATAACTTGTACCAAACAAACTAAATCAAACAGTCAATTCAATTAATAAAAATTAACTGTTACTACAAAGCTCACAAAAGTATCTTTTTATCTAATTATGCCAAACATGCTATTTGTTGCAAAAAGACTTGTGTGCCATAAAAATTTGTGATGCAAAGTTACAATATACGAAGTAGGGGTGGGCATAACGGTTTGGTTTAACCGAACCGAACCATACCAAACCGAACTAAACCAAACTGAAACCGGACCGTATGCAATTTGGTTTGAATTTGGTACTATTTCTTCCAAACCGTATTAAACCGAACCAAACCGAAACCGATAAAAACCGAACAAAACCGAACCGAACTAAAGAAACTCAAAAAAAACTTTCATATAGTATTAAAATTGGTGGTTTGATTTGGTTTGGTTTGGGTTTACTTAAGCAAACCATTTGTTAAACATTTGTTCAAACCGAATGGTTTGGTACTTTGGTTTGGTTTAAAACGGAAAAACCGTAAACCGAACATCCAAAAATGTGTGTGTGCGCGCGTGCATAAATAAATAATTTAGACATGAATAATTTATAAATAAATTATTTATACTCATATCATTTTAACTTTTGCACATTTCATACATTCATTATGACAAAGTTAGCTAATACGACATATTTGTATTTATTATGTTTGGCGATAACAACAGCAAATGCATTTATATTTTTACATGATTCATTTGAATAAAATTGTGAATATTACAACATTTGTACCACCGAATCTTTTAGGTTTTTTTAAATATTTTATGTGATATTATAAATGCTAATCAACTATCTTAATTTTTTGTAAGAAGTGAACTTTTGTAGTGATAAAAAAGATGTTAGAAGTTTTAATTTATAATATTTTATTATTTATTTTTCTATCTTTTATTTCCTTTTACATTTTATTTAAATAATCAATAAATTAAAAAAAGATGAGATGGACTACTACTTTCATTTTCTAATTCTAAAATATAGAACTTGATAAAACAAGATAATAATCATAAGCAAACGAATCAAATCAAACTAAATTAAACTTAATATTTTTTACTTTGGTAAACCAAACTTCAAACCGAACTGAATTGAAACCGAACCGAAACCAAATCGAAAAACAAATGGTTTTAGTTTGGTACAAATTCTCCCGACCCGGATAAACCGAAACCGAACCGAAACCAAAGAAAACCGAACCGTAAACCGAATTGCCCACCCCTTATACGAAGTATGATATACTTTCCATCGTTTTTATTAATAAAAATCCTTTTATAAAAAAAACAATGCTATGATTAGTAGTATTCTCTTGCACCAAAAATATACTTGTATATCCCTCATAGAATTGCAACACACGAAAGTAAGTTGAACTACACATTATAAAACTTTGTTGCACATTTACATCCAGGGGTGGAGCCAGAAAAATGTGTGAGAGGGATCGAAATTTAATTATATACAGTATCAAAATGATGGATAGTTATTATACAATATTTGAGTTAAATGTTTCATATGTAGCTGAGATAAATGATAGTTTAATGACCATTTTTCGGTTAATGTATTGATATATATGTAATGTATCATAATGTTCACACAAGTAATGACTGAATAAGGTGTTTTAGTTTTTAAATTTAAGAATATAATCAACTCACACATCAAATTTTGCTTATTTCAAGTTAAGATGATGCTGATTTTTCCAAAAGTCGTAACTTTTTACTCGTAATGAGTTACGAGACCCATAATATATCAAATCGAAGGTATTTCAGAGCTCTACATTCTTGAACTTTCAGCATGGTCGGCTGACCACCCTGACCCCTTGGCTCCGCCCCTGTAATTACATCCATAGGCGATGGAGGTCGTCGCCCAAATGAAAAGCCCGAAAAGGCAACAAATTCGTGGCTATGAACAATAAAAGTTTCAGTTGCACAAAACCTTTTTTTACAAGTAGCGTTAAAATAAGTAATGTAAAGATCTCATTTTCTTCACCAAAACCAGCTATGTCGACTATCTATAGCTTTAACAGAAGTGGTTACCAATGGCATTCTTCCAAACTCAGCAACAAATCTATTCACACATTGGGTCCTTTTCTCATTGTGACTTCCTAAGCTACTAATTCCACTTGAACCAATCTCAAATATTTTTCCTGTAATACGTACACAAAAGGAATTCAAACAAGGTGACAATTCCGTTACCTTTTAAAAAATTGGGTACAGTACCTATGAACCATTTGATTGGACCACATCACTTTATCTTTTTTAATTTTGATTTAAATAATTCAATTGCAACATTCTCATTGGTCCATGTGGACAAAGGTATGGTAACTTATGGATACCATAGAATCTACCTTCAAACTACTAGCATATAAGAATTTGGACTTCAACTCCTACTATTGATTGATCTTTGTAGTATGAAACCACAATTAAGTAATACCTTGTATCCATATAGGAGGAGCATTGGTCTCATTGGCAACAAGGAAGGACATCGCAATATCTTCACAATTCCTGTTTGGTTGATTGAAAAAACTCAGCTCAACTCCAGAGAATAAAAAACAGCCCGGACAGAATTTATGAAGTCGAATTGGCAATGAAAGAATCAACAAGAAATTAAACAAGAAATATTGACCTGTTTTTAGTCACATGGTTTCTAATTGATGCTGGCATTTGGTTGGTATACAAAGTAAGATACTTCTTGTGAAAAAAAGCAGCTTTCGAAAGAACCATACTGTAGGTTCCCATCCACCACACTGGCCACCACCCTCCATAAATGTACTTTTGTCCCTCACCTTTCTGTGATAACAACAATAATAGTAGTAATAAGAACCTTAATACTTAATGGCTATGTTGCACCGAAACGTGAAAATCACGAGGAAATGGGCAACGAGAAACGTCGTCCTCTAATTGAAAAACAATTGTTTAAAGAGTTTCTGAAACGTAAACGTACTATTTCCAAAGAGTTTCCTTGCTTTATAACTTAACACATTAAGGCAAATCAAGTACCATGTTGAATTGTAAAATGCAACATACCAAGTTATCAACCCAATGCGTACGGGGTACAAATCCCACCATTGTATTAGGTGCACTTTTCCAAACCGTGAAAGCAAACTCCACAGAAGAACAAGGAATTATGACATCATCATCAATCGAAAATACAGCATCATTTTCAAATTCATTGAGCTCCTTAAACCTATTATTTAGAGAGTCTTCATGATTGAAGTCAAATTTCAGCTCAATTTGCTGACCATATGTCAACCGCGAATGCACAACTTTGTTGAGGAACTCTATAAGTGATGGTGGAGGGTTGTTAGGATCACTCCACACAATGTGTATTGAAGAAAGGCTCGGGCAAGAAGAATAGTGGGAGATAGATTGCATAAGAAGATCATTTCTCTTCCATGTGTTAATCAATATAGTGTAGCCTTTCCTGTCCAAAACATAAAGTATGTTTTATTGAGTATTGATAGACAATATTAAACGAATAGTGTGTCTTCAACAAGAGAACCAGACCCGGATCTTGCAACTAAATGTTGGGGGTTCGAGATTACATACAATCAAGATGCTACATAATAATATTACTTGATCCAATAATTGAAGAAATATAAGGGCCTGTTTACTAACAGAGATATTTTCCTGTTTTCTACTTCTGTTTTTCGTTCTCCAATTTTCTGTTTTTATTTTTCAGTTTTTCTATCTCCAATTTTCTGTTTCTATTTTTTAGTTTTCCATTTTCAAATTTGAAAACATGTTCATCAATTTTTTCACATAGTTCTCCAATTCCACACCCTTGACCCCTACCTTTACCCTTACCACGATCTACACTCTACCCATACTCCACCACAACCCTTCATACCCACCCATACCTACTCGTAGGGGTCGGGTAGGGAAGTTATGGGTGGGGGTGGGGTAAAGGGCATGGTCGGGGTGGGGTGGTAAGGTTTAGGGGTAGGGGGTTGGGTGGGGGTAGTGGGTGGGTTAGGGTCGTGGGTGGGGTAGTGGGTAGGGTTGGGGTAAGGTAGGGAGTTGGGATAGGATGGCGGCAGGGTGGGGTCGGGACCAGGGGTGGGGCCGGGGTAGGGAAGGGGTAGGATGGCGGTAAGGGTTGGGGTAGTGGGTGGGGTTTGGGGTTGGGGTAAGGTAGGGGTAGGGTAGGGAGTTGGGATAAGATGGTGGTAGGGTGGGGTCGGGACCAGGGTGGGGCTGGGGTAAGGAAGGGGTAGGATGGCGGTAAGGGTGGGGGTAGTGGGTAGGGTTTGGGGGGGTTGGGGTAAGGTAGGGGTAGGGTAGGGAGTTGGGATAGGATGGCGGTAGGGTGGGCCCGGGATCCGGGTGGGGCCGAGGTAGGGTAGGGTGGGGGTGGGTGTGGGGGTAGGGATGGAGGTACGGGGGTGGGGGCAGGATGGCGATGGGGTGGGGCCGAGGTAGGAGGCATGTGGTAAGGGGTAAGGTAGGGGTAAGTGGTAATATACGAGGGGTGGGGGTAGGGTAGGGTGGGTCGGGGTGGGGTCGAGGTGGTAGGGGTGGCGGTAGGGTAGGGTGGATCGAGGTGGGGTCGAGGTGGTAGGGGGGTGGCGGTAATGTAGAGTGGATCGGGGTGGGGCCGAGGTCGGGGCATGTGGTGGGGGGTGGGGTAAGGTCATTATAGGGAAAAATGGGTACGCGGGGTGGGGGTTGGGTGGGTAGGGTAGGGTAGGGGTAAGGTACGAGGATGGAGGTACCGGAATGAAATCGAAATCGGAGCGGAACCGGACCCACCACTAGGTGTAAGTATGCAAATTCATTGCAAAGGCACTGTAGCATCTGCGTTTTTCAAATTTGGAAAACTAGTAAAAGTCATTTCTCCAAATCATTAAGGAAAAGAGAGACATGTTTCATTTTTTCCGTTTTGGAAAACGATTTGGTAAACGCGTTTTTCTTTTTTCCTTTCTCCAGTTTTCCAGGAATTTCTTTGGTAAACACATTTCCTGTTTTCTGTTTTCCAGTTTTCTGGAAAACTGGAAAATATTTCTATTAGTAAACAGGCCCTAACTTTTTCAACAACAAAAAACTAGCAAATAGGGTAAAAAAATATAAAAATATTACATAAAAGTACTCCGTACAATATATAAATTCTTACATCAATTCTATATTACGGATTTTGCACATAATTTTCTCTAGGCAACATCCTCGTCAAACCCTCTCTCCTTCCTCCATACCTAAGCAAGGCAAAGCATCTTAAAAAATAATGGAAAAGTTGAGCTATAGTGACGTTGCAGATGGGGAAAGACAGAGAAGGTGCAGCGTTGCAGCGGTGCGTGGCGAGACGGTGAGGCGATGCCGCGGTGTGGCAGTGCGGCGATGCGGCAATGCGGCGATGCGACAGTGCGGCGGTGCGGTGGGAGGGCGTGCTGCGTTCTCTCTTTTCCTGTCCTCTCCTCTCCTCCTCTTTCTCTTCTTCTCTTTTAGATCGGGGAAATATCTGACTTACTTTTTTCCAGCCCGGTTCCTTACGTTTTAACTTTTGATTCTCTTTGCGTTTTTTTCAATCTGGTTCCTTTCATTTTTGTTGTTGTTGAATACACTGTATTTATTTTAATGCTATTCTACTCACTTAATTTATTTTTTTGAGTTCTAGCTTTTTTAGGTATTTTTCTATTAATTATTTTTAGATATATTTTTTGACATTGTAATTTTTTTTTACATTTTGACAATGACATTGTCATTATTACAATGACATTATTTTTTTGAAAGGACAATGTCATTATTTATAACATTGCATTTGTTATTATTTGATATTGTGACATTTAATTGACATTATAACATTTTTCTAAATTATAGCAATGACATTGTTATAATGTTGTCATTTTTAATGACAATGACATTCATTGTCATTGTTACAATGTTATTTTGATGTCATTTTTAAGAGTGATGAACGTGAATTGGCTTTGTCTTGCAAACATTGCACCTGCTGAAATAAAAATTATACTCCGCATTTTATAGCTTTGACATTAGTTTTAACAATGTCATTTTCATAATGATTGACATTCTTATGACATTGTCATTGACATTCTTATGACATTATCATTGACATTTTTATGACATTGTCATCGTGATTAATTAGCATTACAAGATTTTTTCGACGTTGTGACTTCTTTTTATAAAATTAACATCGTCATAATAGCTATTATATTGACATTGTCACAATGACAATGTCATTTTATAGCATCGAAAATGACATTGCCATTGTGACATTTTCTTATCTCGATGACATTTTTATACATTGACATTTTTATGACATTGTCATTGGAATTGTCATTGTGTCAAGATATGTCATTGTAATTCCATGACACTAGTTATGTACAATAAACAGTGTCATAACATTGACATTATGATATTTTGACATTGTGTAATAACAATATGACATTGTTAACAAGTGTCATTGTTTTTTTATGATGTCATTGTGATTGTAATATTGTGACATTATGTAATAACATTATGACATTGTGATACTAAAATTGTACAATTGTCAAGAAATAATGTTTGTTCATTTATAATATTGTGATATTGTGATATTATTTAATAATATTGTGAAAATGACAACGTGAAACTGTTTAAGGAAATGAAGTATAGACAAAATTAGAATCTATATGGTACAAGTAGATAGAAAAATTTAGAATAACTAAGAGAATAAGAGAATTTGGTAAAAAAAAATAGAATAAGAGAAAGGAAAACCAAATACTACGTAAGAATTTAGAGAAACGAAACAAAGGGAACTCCAAAACAACAATGAAACAAAATGGAAAATTGAGAAAAAATAGAAGAAAGCAAGAAGGGAAAAATCACAAATAGATCTGGACAACAAAAAGAAAAAGCTCAATAATTGACTTTGCTGAGCTCAGCGATGTCACCTTCCTTCTCCACAGGTCATCGAGACACAAGTAGAACAACAAATTGGTTTTGTACAAATCGGAAAATCCTAATTGCTCCGGCTAGAATCAACTGAGTAGCTTTCAACCCCATTTTTGTTCAACAAAACTTGAAAAGAAGCAGCATCAAAAAATAAGAGAAAGAAGAGGACGATCTGGCGACGACCAGAGGCATATACTCCGGCGATTACTAGCGGCAGACCGGCAGTTAACACAAAACATTCGAGCGTCAAGATGAAGGTCAACGGAATTGAGGACAACTTCGGTCAGGGAATTTTGAATCCCGATGGATACGATGGAGGACGGCCAGGGAATTGTGAATTCGTGAATTCGGCTTCGTTGCGTGTTGTGTGGCTGGTGCGTGAGATGTGAGGGTATTTTTGTCCCTCAGGGAAAAAATAGTCCTAGACGGGAGTTAATAAACATCGAGTCCTATTTAAGTTCCACGAGCATCTTTTAGTCCTACTTATGTCTTTATCCCAAATTTCTTAAGCTTTCGGTTCAAATTTTATATTCTTCATTTCATCCTTTCAAGACTCAGTTTATAGCAAAATCCAACTATGCTAGTATTCCATATAAAAAAGTAGAAAACAAAATGATGATGACCTGCGAGGTGACGACGAATGAGGAAATGGAGAAGGTGAGTGTATATTCCATGTTGTATAGGATCCAAGAAGACAAGTGAGCGCAATTAGCGCTAGTAAGAAGCAACAACAGAACAAGAGTTTGATCTTATCGGCGGAGATTGTGCCCTGCCGTGTCATCCTCCGGCTGAAAACGCTTGTTTTCATCGTCTCTTTCAATCGATATGTATCACTTTTCCTGGTATATATTTCTCTCTTTGATCAGAACCTGAAAGACCATTCAAACAAAGTTAATTAAAATTTACTTTGACAATTCAAAGAAAAACATACTCCGTATATATCAACGTACTACCGAGTATATAATTTTTTTTACTACCGAGTATATAATATTTAAATGTGTAGTAATTATAATTAAATACATATGTACTCTTCTTTATATGTTATAATATACCACTTTAATTGTTGCACTATTTATCTTCTCTATTTTGACCTTTTTATATACTCCAAATATATTCGAGCTCCAAATGTAGACATGCACCTGTATTTTTGGAAGGTGATGCAAATCTTCCCTAAAGTTTACATATAGCAATAAATTTACTCTTATTGAATTTAGCTAAATAAAAGATATATATTTAAAAATATGTACAAAAAATAAATTAGTAAATATATTGAGTTTGGAGATTGAAAAAAATAATTAGAAAATCCATTTTGTGTTCAATGTTTCTGTTTGTTGTTTTTATATTAATCTAATATTTTTAGCATAAAGAAAATAATGAGTATAAAACTTTAACATATAACTATGGTTGCTGGCGTGAAGTACTAAAAATCATGTTTAACAATTAAAGATTTTAAAAACCGTTTTGTATTCAATGCTTCCTTTTATGTACTACAATGTTGATAATATTATATTTTGATGTAGAAATACTTTGCAATAAGGAAGCACTGAACAGGGAAATGGATCGATTTTTAACAATTTTTATTTTTATTTTTCCAAACTCAAAGTACTCGTTCATTTATTTTTTTCATTTTCATTAGGCTAAATTTGCTCATAAATATTTTCATTTTCATTAGGCATGCATATCAATCTGTACCTGGAGCTAAAAATTTGGAGTATTTTTTCACACTTTTTTGCCTTATAATTTATGTACACAGTACTAACAAATTATGTTACCCAAAACGTTTCCACATTTGTTTCAATACAAAACTTCAAAATTTGATTATTTTTTTATAATTTTTACTACTAATAAACAACTAAATACGTAGAGTGGTGGTCAAATTAATGCGAGAAAGTTTGTTACAAATTAAATAAATAAAACATGAATACTACTAGTATATATTTATATATATTATAGTAGTAGACGTTCTATTGGGACTGAAAAAATAAAATCTAAAATAATAAAAACCCTTATTACGTACACAAAATTAGATCATACGGAGCTGAGTATTACATATCGATCACATGGGGACCGATAGAGTCAAAGAAGAAACAATATATAACCAGTGAAATAAAAATAGATCTTACATGAATTTGGATAGCAGAAACTTAAACTGACTTTATTGATGATAGTGTAAGAATAACAATAGGCTGCAATTATATCTGTGTATATCACTCGTTTCTTATATAGTCCGGATTTGGGACTTGGACTTTAGATGTTGCTAATGGGAAGTCTGAATTTCAAAACTTTTTGTAACCATTTTCAAAGATTCCTTCTTACGTTTTGCTGCTTTTTGACTCGCAATTTTGTTGGTTACCATTGTAGATCCATTTTCTCTCCCTACCAAATTGTCACCTTTTGTGAATAAAAACTGTGCTTCGTAGTTCGTACTATACGTATTTCTTTTGTGAATGGGAAACTAGATCTAGTCGGGAATTATATATTTTGTGTGCCCATGATTTAATTTTGGACAATTGCCAAGATCGAATCTCCATTGAGAATAATTTACATGTAATGGACTTATGGACGTGGAAGTAGATAAATAGATAATAACACAAATGCTCCAAATTATATAGAATAATAAAGATATTTTCTGATAGACTCGTTTTAATCTTTTATCAGGCTAGATTTGATCATTATAATTTAAAATGTTTAACTTGAGTTGATCAGATTAGGAGCCCGTTTGGTAGCACCAAAATCGGCTGTTTTGGCTGATTCTGCTGAAATTTATGATATTCTGGCTGGAGTGGCTGTTTTGGCTGATTCTGCTGATTTAAGAAAAAAATATTTTAAAAATATATTTTATTAATAAATTAAAGAAAAAATTATATGTAAAAATAGCTAAAATGGTCCTCTACAGTAACTTCAGCCAATACAGCCAGAAAAGTAACTCCAACCTTACTTTTTCGGCTTATTACACAATTCAGCGCGCGAAAGTAAAAGTTACGTGTTTGGTGAAAAAGCTGGCTGATAAGCCTGATAAGCCGAAAACAGAGTTCTCCAAACGGGCTCTAGGTCTGACTTTATATACGGAGCTGAGTATATCCGTGCTTAGTCAAATGTCAACTACGTATTAAATACGGAGTAGTAAATAGTTGAGGTGTGTCCAATATTGACTTAATGACTTGTTTCGCAAATCATATTTACTTCGATCAATGAGACTCTATTTACCTCAAATGTACTCTATTTATTCTAAATACGCTACTTGTACCCAAAGGGCTAAATATTTAATTATTTAGTGTAATACAACATATTAGCAACCAACATTCAAAACAACATAACAGCAAAGAGTATTACAAATTGCTACCATATTCAAGAAACCAAATAAAACTATTTTGTTTCTTTTATAATACGGCAGAAGTTAATTATCGGTCTTTGAATCTTTTGGTTTAGTTAATTATACTGATTCTTGAGTGTTCCAAGGATTACCATATTTTAACTTTTCTTGGTACAAAGAGTTGTTGCGCAATCCGTTGTTCTCTCTAGGGCTAATTAGCCGCTAGAGCTTTTCTTCTGCTATCGGCAATTGTCGAGGAGCAGTTTTGGTTTACGTGTGGCTTTGAGGGATTGCTTAAGGCGTTTTCTTTGGTGTCTTCGTGGCTTTTTTGAATCAATCCAGGATCATTCGGTGGTTTAGTCTCGGATTCTTCGTGACAGAATTCGGCGATCGATTTCTTCGTGAGCAGTGTAGCAAGGGCATGGCAGCGATGAAGATGACCGCTAGCGATAGATTTGCTACGAACGCGGGACGAGAAGAGTTGCATAGATTTCGACCAGACCAGATGACGACTGACAGTGGAGGATCAATTAGAGTGGTACTAAGGATACAGCTTCCTCCTGAACCACCGTCATGGGTTGTACGAGGTGATAGAGTCCGTGAATGTTTTCCTATTAGTTATTATTATTTCGTCATTTGGCTTCTTGTTATCATCTATGTTGTTAAGTTTGTCAGTTTGTTTGGGAGTTCGGCCTTTTTATGTCATTGAGTATGTTTGGATCTATGAGAATATGGATGGTTGTGTCAAGTCCGCTAAATGGTTAGCGATTGACGTTGCTCTTTCAGGGGTGACCGTCTCAAAGTCTGATCATAGGATTACAGTCGTAGTTGTTGGAATTTAGTTGGTGTCAGTTTTGTTTTTCCTTTGATTGATGTAATGATCCTGAAACTTAGTATATGAAAGAAGATTAGTTGACGATAAAAAACTTTTCTTGGTCAATTATGGAAAACTTTAACTACGATTTTAAATATTACTCTGTGTATTTTTATACGGAGTATAATTTATAAAGTTTAGGCTTTTTTCATGAATGTTTTTTTTTAAGTTTCATGAATGTTAATAAGTTAATAAATTCAAATGACAAAAATATGATTTATTTTAATTATTTTTAAATGACATAACAATGACTAATTTTCAATGACTCGTCATCTACTAGGACTAGTTACTCTGAAATAAACTATAATGACTTTTGTGCAGTTATTCGTACACAGTGACTAGTCATATTTTACCCAATTAACATAACTAGTCTTATTTTTTTCGAGTAAACTCTAATAGCAATATACATGTCATTTTCCTAAAGTTTATACTTTTATGGAAACATTTTTAATAAGGAACATTTTAAAATAATTTTCATATTCAAAATAATTTCAAATTAAAAGATATCGATCATATATTGGTTACGGGATGATTGTCATTCACTAAGAAAAATTTAGTGATTATAGTTTTTTAAATTTGGTGCATTATAGTTAGAATTGAATTTGCGAAATAGGAAAAATATTCCGCAAAATTCGTTTAATGAAAACAACTCCGTATCTTTAGCTGGTTGTCTCCCCCACTTCCAAAATTTTTATAGATATAAAAAATGAACAATATAATCTAAGGGTTAATTAACATTTTAGATTCATATTAAACAATGTTTTCCTTGAGATAGATTCCCACCTAATTCCGTCGTGACCCAATCTTGGCGTTTTATTTACCTAAAAAGCCTCTAATATATGTTCAAACAATTAAGATATTACCATGGAAGAAGGACCAAAAATTACATTATAGCTTTTAATAAATCTCAAATTGAACACTCAAGTTTTTAGTAGATCAACTAAACACAAATTCTAACTTATTTGTTGCATTTATGCCACCCATTAATCTTTTCCGTTAAACGAGCATTGGTTGAGGTTACTCATCGATCTGTAAGTTATTAAATAAGTTTCCTTGATGAATCTCATTCTGAAACAACTAAACTCTAGAAACTGAATGTATGTTCAATGGCAGACTTGAGAAGAAGGCTCACCATTCTGTAATCTAGATGGACCTCTTACATGAGGCTCTGTTTAATGGAAGGTACACCGTATACCGTATGTTCTGAACGACAATCACTCTGAAAGCGGAGCATCGGTGAACAATAGTTCACAACGCGGTGCATCTGCTTTGGCCAACCAAAGGGATATCCCTATGGTGACCGTGCCAAGCAACTCTGTGGAGAAACCCGAAAAATTTAATGGGTTAAACTTCAAGAGGTGGCAGCAAAAGATGCTATTTTATCTCACTACTCTTGGTCTTGCACGTTTCTTGACCGAGGACGCTCTGGTTGTAACTGGGAGTGAGGTAGATGTGCAATCTCTCAATGCGGTTGAGGCATGGAAGCATTCTGACTTCCTATGCCGAAACTATGTGTTGAACGGGCTGCACGATGCTTTGTACGACGTTTATAGCAAATTAGCTACGGCTAAGGAGCTATGGAATGCTTTGGACCACAAATATAAAAGCGAGGATGCTGGCGCAAAGAAATTTGTTGTTGGTCGATTCCTTGATTTTAAAATGGTGGATTCGAAGACGGTCTTGAGTCAAGTTGAAGAAATGCAAATGATCTTCTACGAAATTCGAGATGAAGGAATGACAGTTAGTGAGTCTTTCCAAGTGGCATCAATTATTCATTTGTTGCCGCCAGCTTGGAAGGATTTCAAGAACTACCTTAAGCATAAGCGAAAGGAAATGAACTTGGAGCAATTGATCCTCCGTCTGCAGATTGAAGAGGATAACCGGAAGAACGATGGGAAACTCCCAATTGTTCACGGCGCCAAGGCCAACGTGGTGGAGCATGCAAAAGGCTCCAAAAATAAAGGCAATGGGAAGAGCAAGCTCAGGCCTAAAGGAGGCGTTTCCAAACCCAAGTTTAATGGAAAATGCTTCAATTGCAACAAAAACGGACACAAGTCGTCGGATTGCAAGGCACCAAGGAAGAAGAAAGACTCCCAAGTCAACTTGGTGCAAGGTGGGCAAAAGGATGAAGACATCATTCTTGCGGCCGTGGTGACCGAGGTCAACCTCGTTGGATCCAATTCCAAGGAGTGGTTCGTGGACACCGGTGCAACCCGGCATATTTGCTCTAACCGGGAGCTATTCACGACCTTTGAGCCATCAAACGGTGAGAAGGTGTGGATGGGGAATTCTGCTCATTTCGCGGTGGAAGGCTTGGGCAAGGTGGTCCTTAAGATGACTTCGGGCAAGGAGCTAACTCTTAACCAAGTGCTGTTCGTTCCGGAGATACGCAAAAACCTGATTTCCGGTTCGTTGTTGAACAAGCATGGCTTTCGTATGGTTTTTGAGTCGGATAAATTAGTTTTGTCCAAATCGGGAATGTATGTGGGCAAAGGGTATGCATGTGACGGGCTGTTTAAGCTCAATGTAATGACTATTATTATTAATAATAATAAAATCCTTTCTGCTTACTTGCTTGAGTCTTCCAATGTGTGGCATGGTAGACTAGGACATGTTAATTTTAATTCTATACGTAGATTAATTAACATGGAACACATTCCTAAATTCAAAATTGATGTGAAACACAAATGTGATATTTGTGTTGAGGCAAAACTAACGAAAACGTCTTTCAAATCGGTTGAAAGAAAAACGGAACCACTAGAATTAATTCATAGTGACATTTGTAATTTTAAATCAATACAAACACGTGGCGGTAATAAATATTTTATTACTTTTATCAATGATAGCACTCGCTATAGCTATGTTTATTTATTGAAAAATAAACACGAAGCAATCGATAAATTCATTCTTTATAAGAATGAAGTGGAAAACCAACTTAATCGATGAATTAAAACGGTTAGGAGTGATCGAGGTGGTGAGTATGAAGCACCAATTGGTGACTTTTGCGCGAGCGTGGGTATAGTACACGAACGTACCGCACCCTATTCACCTCAATCAAATGGTGTTGCCGAACGAAAGAATCGCACATTGAAAGATATGATGAATGTGATGCTAGTAAGTTCGGGCTTGCCACAAAACATGTGGGGCGAAGCAATCTTGACAAGCAATTACCTTTTAAATAAGGTTCCCCGGAAAAAATATGATAAAACTCCATACGAGTTGTGGAAAGGCAGACGGTCTTCCTATCAATATTTAAAAGTGTGGGGGTGTCTTGCTAAGGTGCTTGTACCAACACCTAAGAAAATAAAAATATGTCCAAAAACGGTGGATTGTATTTTTATTGGATATGCACAAAATAGTAGTGCTTATCGGTTTTTAGTGTACGATTCGAACAATCCGGATGTACATAAAAACACAATAATTGTGTCAAGGAATGCATCATTCTTTGAAGACGTATTTCCATGCAAGTCCAACGATGGACCTAGCACGTCAAAACGAACGTTTGACGTAGCTATGGAAAATACTAGCGAGGGATCCGGTGAAGAACCCGAACCCCGACGTAGCAAACATGCTAGAGTTGAAAAATCCTTCGGACCGGATTTTCTCACATACTTGGTAGAATTCGATTCGAATATTCTAACTTGTATGGTAGAAAATGAACCGGATTTTCTAACATGTTTGGTAGAAAATGAGCCACGGACTTATACGGAAGCCGTAACGTCTACCGAAGGACCAATGTGGTAAGATGCCATCAAAAGTGAGGTGGACTCTATCCTAAAAAATCACACATGGGAATTGGTTGATCTCCCTCCGGGATGTAAACCTTTGGGATCCAAGTGGATTTTTAAACGTAAAATGAAACCGGACGGTTCCATTGATAAGTATAAGGCCAGACTTGTAATCAAGGGATACAAGCAACGTGAAGGCCATGATTACTTTGACACGTATTCTCCTGTGACGAGAATAAATTCCATTAGGATGATACTCGCGATTGCCGCTTTACGGAATTTGGAAGTTCATCAAATGGACGTAAAAACCGCTTTTCTAAATGGCGATATAGACGAAGAAATCTATATGGAACAACCCGAGGGTTTTCGTGTTCCAGGCCAAGAAAAGAAGGTTTGTAAATTAATTAAATCATTGTACGGATTGAAACAAGCCCCTAAACAGTGGCACGAAAAGTTCGATCATGCAATGTTAATTAATGGGTTTAAAATAAACGAAAGTGACAAATGCGTCTATATAAAGGGACTCCCCCCTTAAGGAGTTAAGATTCCTTAGGGTAAAGGCTCTCTCCACGCGCACAGGGGGGTGCAAATCAAATCCCAAATTCGGAGAAGAAAAACCGCGACTTGCGTGCTCGGGCGATCTGCGGACACGAATGTCGTCCAAAAATCCTTCTCTCAAGAGATATGGATAATTTTTGTTTTCTTCCAGAAGGCCTTGACAGAAACCCTCCTAGGGTGTTCTGCCGGCTTCGGACAGAAACCCTCCTAGGGGTGTTCTGCCGGGTTCGGACACAAACCCTCCCAGGGGTGTTCTGTTGGAAGGTCTTCTGGTGGCACTTCTGAACCGTTACAGCAATAAATGTCCAACGTTCTTATCTTTTAATGCAGCGTTAGATGGACGATTCAATGCCCAACGGACTGGTCATTGATGCCCAACGCTCAGGTCCATTAATTCACCATTTGCACACAACAAATCCTCCTATATAAAGGCTGGTAGGTGGTTTGCAACAACACACGAATTCATACACTCCATGCACGTTTTGCACCCAAAAACACACTGCTAGCAATCTGAAAATTCCCTCTGTGTTCATACTGTGTTCTCGTTCGCTGGGACTTTTGTTTGAGTGCTCAAACCTTAGTTCGTAGTCATCGTATCCTGGGAAACTATTGTTGCAACGCTCCTAGCACCGTGGGAGGCAACAAATACGTTTTAAGGACATCGTGCGTAGCACGAGCTTTGACTAAATTCTGCTCCATCTTTTTTCTTGTTTTCTTTCGTCATTTTTAATTAATTTATTTTAATTAATTTTCTTTATTTTCCGAAACAC